CGTGTTTACGCCAGCAAAGCCACAATTTTCCTTGTATAAGCAGTTCGGACGGTGTTCAGCTTGCACTCTCCTTTCCAACAGGGGTTGGAACTCGAGAAGGAGGGTGCTTTCGGGTGGAAGCTCTCAATATGTCCGACCTAATCCTCTCCCAGAGGACCCGGCGTCCCCTCTCACGCGCTTTACTTTGCAATACGTACAGACATTTCGAGCCCAGCTGCGCCACGGGATTTAGGAACTGAGCGATTAATAAATGCTTCGTACGACGAGAGCCAGGCACCAGGACTCTCCGACAGCCACTCGACGAGGCTGCCCGTGATTTACCGTTTGGACTCGTGTGTCTGCATTCAAGCTACCGCGTCTGGATTTCCGGCGATTTCGCGGCATCATTTTGATTTAGTGTCCTTCTCGTGGCATTTGAAATATCGCCAGGTATCTGTCTTTCGCTCTTCCGTCGCGTTATGCTTATACCAATTTGCCGAATTAAAGTTACGACTGAGTGTGCGAATGAATTTTCGTCGCTAGCTCTGTCTCTATATCAACGAGCTTCTTTTTATATCGAAACACGCTTACGTCGATTGATCGACGTTACTGCGCGTTCTTGCTTATTCCCTTAATCGTCGTAGTAATCGTAATACGATGTTCTATTCGGTATAATGGCTATTATTCGGTTTGCGTTTCATCCTTTTACGTAAGCGATTTTTCAAGCCAGTACCCTATCTCACGTTCTCTTTCCGATTCGACAGCTTTCAGCCAAAAATAGAGTCATAATTTAGCTTCCAGAGACTCGTTCGAAGGTCGTGAGTTTTATACGATTCAAAAAATAAAAGAAGCGACTTTAAGACACGAGATACAATAGTTCCATCGATGGTTGCGTTAAAGGGAAAATTCCAAATTGGTTATGCGTGTTAAGACACGATACATTCAACAGACGGACGAACCCGTGCAGGTGACAGGAGAACGATTAATCATCGATAACTATCGCCCGTTTAATACTCCCTCATAAAATGCTAGATCGAGGAAATTATTGATTTGTCATATTTCCTGTCAGTAATGTCGTTAACGGGACCATTCTAATCCGTTGACGTCACATGATCAAACGCGAACGAGAGTTATTGAAAATGCTTTCCCGCCTGGCACATCGTACTTGTTGAAAGGAAAAAAAGAAAAAAGAAAAAAATAAAGAAAAAACAACCGTTTTCGTTTCGATCGATGGCCGGTTATAAAATAAGAAATAACATTGATCGTGAAAATTCGCGAGAAGACGCAACCAATCAACGTATTTACGTTATAGTCGATTTCGACGTTTTATCAGGAAAAATGGATTAGAAAACTCGCAACAAATCATCACGAAGATTTTCAGTAATCATTTATTTCAAGTAGGCGAAGTGGCGATAGAGAAGGATCGCGAAGCCCTGATCAAACGATATCGGAGAGAAGCATCTCCGTCAAATGGAATTATTGTTAATAAACAATGAAATAGTCGAGGCCAAAGGAGGAAGAAGGAAATATGTAATCCCGTTGTTTGCGTCTTCCGACGATGACAGCTACTTGGAAATGATATAATACCGGTGGACGGTCGAGAGGTGAGATATGAATAGCAGGTTGGTGAGGGTTGCCAACAAAACGGAAGGGGAATTGAAAATACAAGCACGCAATGTTATTACAAGTTAATACACGGAATTGTTCTGTTGCGCGAATATTCGTTTAACGTTTACGATATAGCGTGCTACAATAAGCGGATACGCGGATACAGAGGAGTTCACCTCCCCGTTTTCAAAGGTAGCTCCGTAGCATTATTGGCTTTAGCGTTGGTAGTACCTCATCGTAGAACCCTCCCGCGCTCCGGGTGTAGAGAAGCACCCTTGGACCCGCTTCAAATAGTATTTCGTTCCATTATTCATAAACATTTTATAATCTTCTTAGCGCGGTGAATTATTGCTGCTCGTACAATTGAAATAATGCGAGCTGTGGAGGTCCGCGTTAAGGGGACGGCCCGGTTGGGACCTGTGCACATCGAAAAACGAAGTCGAAAGGAATTGAAAAGAGACGAAACGAAAGGAAGAAAGAGGGTTCGAGAGAAGACGGAACAAGGCGAGGAAAGGTTGGCACGGAAACGAGAAAATAGAACGAGTTCGCTCGCTGAAGTGGTGTTGAAATGTTTCGAAGCGAGGGAAAAATAATTGGACGAAGAGTCTGTCGTTACTATGGCGGCATTGGTGGAATGCGGACCGCCTGAACGATGACGAAGACAATCGTCGTGTCTTTCCATAAAGTCGTCGAACCGAATTCCCTTCTTAAACTCCTCGTTACCGAGAAGTCTTTTGCTACCTTTCGAACTACCAATCTAGGTAGTATCATCCGATAAGGGAAGTTATTTGAAAACAAAGAAAGGACTGCCAATAACTTTCGAGGAGACTGTAATTCTCGGCTGATGTTGTCTAACAAAATCTAGGAAACGGAAGGATACTTGTCGCGCTTAAGCGCTTATAATTCCTAATTTTACATTCTCTCGTAGATATTTTCTTGCTTCCCTTTCGATGACTATTTTCTTACGAATAATCATCGACGAATAAACTCCGCGGAGAAATAAAACTTTGGTCGAATGTAGTTGAAACAAAGCTCGCTCACGATTAGGATACTATACGTCATCTCTACCGGTTGTTGCGGTAGACCTAAAGCGATATACAGATGAAGTCCTAGAGGAGAGATCTTCCTGATCTCTCTATTACGTAACGGATTAGCTAGTTATGAAACTCGAGCGAACCCAAGCGACCGGTGATGAAGCGTGTTCGGAAAGTTTCCGTCAGGACGGAACCAGGACGAGGGATGTAATGGTAGAGTTGCAGGGAATAAGCGATCGGTACCTTTCGCTCTAGAAACCGTATCCAGCCCATCGAAACTTGGCTACAGACGTTTAAGGATGTTAGCAATTAAATTCATTAACGCAACTTTATTCCCAACTGTTAAATATATCAGGCGTCCGAGAAGATTCTTTTCTTATTTTAGACGCACGAAATTGTATCTTGGCGATGTTTACGCTTGGGCTTTAATCGATCAAATATCGATAAATTATCAAACAGCTGGCACGAGGGGCAGAGAGAAATGAATTTTTCCAGAATTCTCTAACGCTTAATTACTCCGATTGAAAAGAATGTATCGATCGATGTCTATCGCGCCGTTTCATTAATCCATGAAACCAATTTCGCTGTGAAGTTTTATTCACGGATCGAGTCTCCTTCTCTAACATCCTTTTATCGCGAAATAAACGTCGACATTGAAATTACTAGCAATCCTTGTAAGCGACCGGCGAAATGTTCCAGGCTACCGATCAATCCGAAGAAACGCAATGATGTTTTGCGTTCGTGTAATTTTAATTAAAGAGCTTGAAAAGCGGAAGCAACGTCGTTCCGTTTTTCGATAAAGACCCCAAAAGACTCGAAGGTAACGGTACGCAAACTACGATACTACGGGTCTAAGGAACGAAAGGTGGAAAGGGAGGCAGAGACAAAGACGGAGACAGAGAAAACTGAAGGGGTGAGAAAGAGAGAGAGAGAGAGAGAGAGAGACGGGAGAACAGGAGATTCGGTCTTCGTAAAGCAAAGGAGCGCAGCGTGTCATGGAACGTCGCAAGGGTCTTTCCTCAAGTACCGCGCCTTTATCTCTTCTACCGAGGATCCCGTCGCATTTCAAATTTTCGGTTCCTTCCAAAGACGATCGGTGCTACGTTACGTCATCGACTGCGAATCAAAATCTTATTAACTGGAATTTAATTACACTCGCACCTGTTTGCCCGGTTGTCCGCTTAACCCTCCCCGTCCTTTACGTCTTCTTGTAACTCGTACTTACTTGGTTCCGTCGCGTCGTCTCCTGTTCCCTTTCTTACTTCTTCTTTTCTTATATCTCCTCCTCGCTATTTATATCCTGGCTTTAATCGTTTTGCTCGATTGCTTCTCCTTTGCTGTTAAACCTTCTAGAAACTCGACCGACATCCCATTTCTCATGGCCTTCATTTTTATACGAAAATATTTAAATTTCACTGGCTCGTCCAGCGGAAATTATTGCCTTTCCTGCACCATCCGAGCTTCCTCCGATTTCTCTTTCCTTTCCTTTGCAGTTCATCATTTCAGAGGCAATCTTTACCGATCCGTGAATCTCGCTCTTTCCATCTCGCAACTGCAGCAGGTATAAACATCGCAGTAGCAGCAAATCTTCAAATACCATCGTGCTCGAATCACCCTTTTTTCTCTGTCCTGCATCGATATCAAAATTGCACGAGTGAGATACCCCTTCGAGGCAATTGCTTCCTTTCGGATAACTGTTTATTCGTTGCACTGTCCCCTCGCCACGAACCTTTCGAACTTGGCTTATCTTTACCATCAATTTTATTCTTTTCTACCTATGCATCTTCTTTTCAGTGCTAGGTATTGCCTGGAAATACTGCGAGATACAAGGTCCGTGGCTCATCACAGCCGTATAACGAAATTCTTTTCACCGTGCGTAATGAAAAGATGAAACGATAAAATTACAAAGAAGTCTCTTGCTTTCTTTTATTCTTTGATCAAGACTTTTAAATACCGATTGTAAAAGTCTTCTCATTGGTTTACGCGCAGGCTGAGCGCAAAAGCGATACGGTACAAATTTTTAAGTACGCGTTTAAATTCACAATCTAAAGAAAAAATATGTTGCAGGTTTAGGATGCGGTGTACAGAATATTTACAACATCGTCATACTCTTATCTTATCCTATCTTAGCCTATCTTTGTATTCGATAGGCTTAAAACGTTCGCTAAACAACAGAGTTATTCTCTGTTACTCGGTTCGAGAAAAGTAATTGCGAACGATCGGAGCGCGAAGAATTCAGGACAAACTTCTACTTGCCGTAATCAAATATTCGAATGTAAAATTTTCAGTAGAATTGAAAGTCGAATCAAAAACACTCGGTCTCCTCTGGGCACGGAACCGTGTGAAAACTCAAAGATAAATGATACTCTTTTTACTCACCTCTGCTACTGCCGTCGGGTCCTCGGAGGATGGTACACTCCTCTATTGTGCCAAAGGCAGTGAACAACTGTCTGACATCGTCTTCTGTTTGTTGCTTGCTGAGCATTCCCACGAACAGCTTTCTGTCTGCGGGTCGGCCGCGTGTCGAAATAGAGAGAACAGAGAAAAAATACAAAGAAATACGTTAGTGTGTGCTTTAGGATCGAGGTCGATTTCGCTTATAGCGCTTTTTAGGCATTAAAAAGAGATTTTGCGGCTAACACCGAAAACGACAAAGTTACACGGTTACACCAGCATCCACCATCCTAAGGGGAAGGAGATAAGGGTTATATAGATACACATATACATGTCTATACATATGTATATCTATATATATTTATATGTATACAGATATATACATATACGATCTGTGTTATATGAAAATTTACGCGATAGCCTGTAAACGGCCGAACATTTCGTTACATTTAGGAATGTATATGTATACACATATGCGTTCACTATACGGGTATACGTAACGGATATAAAATGACAAATATAATAAAATATTGTTCGTAATACTGACATTGGTATGTAGCACGACGTACACGTGTGAACAGAGACGAATAATGTATTTCAACGGGAATTAGAAGGTAAAAAATAACGACATTGAAGGAAATTAAAATTAATTCAACCAATTTCAATCCTACGTCCTACACCACAAGCCGAAGAAACAGATGTAGAAAAAACGGGATTCGCGTAAAAACCAGATGGGGCGTACAAGCAACTCAACTACGAGCGGAACTTCTAGGCGGTGGTTTGGTACTTTCCAAATTAACATTCATCTTCCGAGCTCTTTAGAAAAGTGTTATTCACGAATACGTTTCAGCGTAGATACACTGTTTACGCTTAGATTTGCGAGCAGTTTGTATCTCGGTAATAGCAATCTTAATCGCTATACGCAATCGTATCGCACAATTTAATAAATACCACCAACCAGTGTGTTCCGCGTGGTGCTGAGGTTAACATATCGCTTATAAAGGGTCACACGCCACTTATTTATTATTCTTTTATCAATCTGCAGCTATTTCTAACTTGTACGCAAGACCTATAATCCCGGTGACATTTGTTATTTCGTTGGAGCACATTTGGGCCTGATTATGTCTCCGTTTGTTTACTTTTTCTTTTACTGCGTAAACTAGCTGCAAAAATATGTAGGAAGTAATTGTACGATTGGTCGCTAAACTTTTGATAGCTGCATCTATTTACTCGAAAAATCTAAAAAGGACCTATGTAGAAGGAACGTTTCTTTCCAAGTTATAGCTGTCTCTAATTTGTCACGTAGACTCGACCGATTGCGAGGAAAGATTAAACTTATTGAAAATATTATTGTTGTTTTCTTTTAATCATTGTAAATTTACGCGATAACGATCGTTGAATGTACTAAAAGTTTAATACTACTAATCGATTGCTAGCAATTTTTACGTAATGCATGACTCACATTTATAATGCTATTACTTGCAAGAACGATAATTGCGCGCATTTAGTAGATAGAAAAGATTATAACACATTATCCGAACAATGGAGATCGAATATCACTTTGTAAAATTTATATCGCAAAAAAGGAAAATTTAATTAATTTAATCGTTTTCTTAAATAGACATGTATATGGTAATTACTCTACTGACAAATGAGAAAAATATATCTTATAAAATTACCAAATACAAAGGTCCTTTTTAGTTACAAAGCTAGGGAAACAATTTGCTTTCGTATGTATGTATATTACCATTCTAAAGTTTAGCGATTCATTTGACGTAATTCTGTGCAAATACGACTTATGACCGTCTGAATTCGGTAAGTCTGGTTTTGCAAATTTTTGCAAATTTTTGAAAATTTTCATCTTTTTCTTTTTTTTTTTTCCTGCCTCGCCCGTCAATATAGACCAATCAATTGAACAGTCGATAGTGATATAAAAATGTTCTTTCTTAGAAATATCTGCACTGAATGTGTATCCTGTGTGTACGTGTACCCCTGTATAATAATGATAATAAGTAATCGTAGGTGTGCAAAATCGACTGGGACTACGTGACAAAAGACGTGGCAAATAGGAAATTGATGAAGATTTTTTTGGGAACACGGTAGGAGAATCGGAAGGGAGGAAGGAGGTAAAAAAGTTTTCATATAGAATCATATCTAAGTAATACAATAAGAGAAACGTAGCTGACATCATAATCAGAAAATATTTACAAAGGTGATAAAAAACACATCGACAACGAACGAGACAACACATCCAACGAGCGAGCCACTATTTTATGGTCATAGCTGTAAAGAGCGGTATAGAGTGTATATATATACGTTGTCTATATATATATACGCTTAAGGTGGTTGCCCATACGAACGGATAAGGCGAAATTGGATTTGGAATTAATTAAGGAGCCTGGATTTTACGAGGTACACGACATACTCGGCCTTCGGAATAAAAAAAGAGGTTCTCTGTATGATACGGTCGGTAGACGCTCTAAGATCGCACTAGACATCGTTCATTTTTTCAAACTAATTTTCTTTCTTCCCTTAATAAGCGGAATGACTGGCCAGATTAATTTACGGGATATTCAAGGATTCTAAGAGCATCCACGCGGATACCGCGATAACGAGGTTTGAACAGTGTGATAACGCCTGTGCGCAATAACTAGAACAAAAACACGAACGACAAGTTTACGGCTACTAAATAAAGGTTCACGCATGTGAAAGGGCACGCACATCATTTATAATACCTTATAGTGTATCACGTTGTATATCCGTGTTTTTGGATGAAATGGATTAGGAAGAACGGAACGGCAGTTCGAAACGGAGAATGGTCTTCGGCGGAAGACACGTCCATCGATCGAATTACGCGAAAATCGAATGGTAGGAATATCTTTTTTTTTCTAAAAGATCTGCGCTATTTGAGATGCACGCCAGGAGCAGAAAATTTTATCGTAAAAACGAAAAATGGAAAAAACGATTGGCAACAAATGTGAGATACGTCCATGAATCATGACCGGTGCTTTTAAAGCCAATTTGTCAATTTTCATCGAAAGGAAAATTTGTAATTTTGAGAAAAATTCGACCAGACGGAAAATATTTTTTTCCTGCGGAAATATTCGGAATTTTGATAGATATATGCCGGTTGTGCGTCGGGTTAAGAAATTGGAGAGTAGCGTAGAAGAAGAAGGGACGGGAAGTTCGTAAAGGAATGCCGGGATTTGTGGGTCAAACACTAGCGAGCAGCAAAATGAACTTTGCGGCGAGCTGTGCTGGCTGAATCAGCGGTGATGGCGTGATGAGAGAGGAAAATTCGTTTTCTTTTCTTTCTTTTTTCTCTTAGAGAAGTTCTCCTTCTGCCGATTTGCGGAGAAGAAGAATAGAGGTACTGGAAGGAAGCTAGCTATCTCCTGGAAGTCGAAGTTACCTTCAGCGGCCGCCACCGGTGCCTCCTACTTCCAGAAGATGGCACTGGTGCTCCCGTCGTCCATCATGCACTCTGCAATACAGAACAGAAACAAAGAAATGCCATTGGGCCCAAAAGTACACCATTGGTTGTCGTCGTTGCCTATATGTATCCTTGCAACACTATTCGACACGCTCTCTCTGTTGATGCTCGATCGAGTGTGTTCTCTTTAGCCTGATTGTACGATCTGGCATATTTCGTTTATCCCGATCGTTCCTATGGAAAGTCGTATCACATCCTAACGATCCACAGAAAATTTATACTATAAATATCGTCCGCAATATCAGATTAGATATTATCGCTAAATGAAAGAAACAGATGATTAATTCATTATGCTAATTTAACAGATATTACGTATTAACATTTTACGACGTTGGAAGAATGTTACGTGGTAGATTCAGCACTGAAATCATACGAGAAACGTTAAAATCTAACGCTAAAATCTTGAATATAACAATACGTTTGACGTGGATCCAAAGATTACGAATTGTTGCATGATACGAAAAGAAATACATAAGTCGTTTGAAAAGTTCTTGAAACCGTGAATTCGTTGTTTCACGTGCAAACGTTTTCATTATACGCCAAGAGGACAAATTTTCAAATAACTCACGCACGTATTATCAGTCGTATACCTTACGTATAAGCTGAAATTTCCGAAAATCAGGCTTCTGTTCGTACATTTAAGAATGCACCTTCCAATTACGGAACAATATTCGCATTAACCGGAAATTCAAAAGTCGGAAATACAGTTGGGAGGGAGAATTTCAGTCGGGCGTAACTGTTTTATCGCAAAATTTTACATTCCTTGGATAACGTGGCAGCGGATCGTGCTTTCGATTCACCGCGTTTCCCGCGTGAATGAACTTAATGACGCGTTCTCGCGAGGTTATGGAGATGCAAAATTGGCGAACCAAGTTAAAGGTCGTCGTCGCGGCTGCTAGACGCGAGCTCATTCCAGCTGCTGGCTCGACTCGCGCCTTCCAGCCAGGCTCCAGGGCACATTTAAGGATTTGTCTCGGGAAATTAGATTCTCGCCTGACTTGCAGCCTCGTTGCATCCCTGTTCTCCACGGATTCTTACCCCTTCGTCCACCCTGCCCATTCTCGCCTACCCTCCTTCACTTTCTCACACTTCCTCCCGCCATTCCTTGACAGGGAATTCTCGTTCCTTTAGCCCCGAGTACTTTTCATCGAGCGTTTGTTCCCATTGTCGTGCCAGGACACCGTGGGGACCGAGAATTGGACCTTTGTCGCTCAAGCTAAGTGTTAACGTGCCCTTCGCGTTCCCTTTTCTCGGCTAAGACCTTCAAGAAATCGAGGAAGGAATTAACCCTCGGGAAATTATCTTCTCGCCGGACTCGGAGAACAAAACGAACATACTGTTTGACACCGTGCTTCCTTTTATCGCACCAGCTCGCTAACACAATGAACTTTTCTTTCAATTTTTTTTTCTTTTTTTTTCTTAATCTGCTGCTATTATCGCGTTGATTCGATTAAGCGGCGAAGAAAATGATATTGGGAAACGTGGAAAAATTGAAGGTAAATCGTGTTCTCGTCACCTCGGTGAATTTAGTAGAAAAACGGTCGAAACATACTATATGTGTTAATTAACATTTTGTTCGATAGCGTCCTTAAAAGGACAACGTTGATTCGAGCCATGTTTAAAGATTACATGTTATATTTCATCGCGTAAAATTCCCCCAAGCATTTGTGCGTATTCCTTCGTTATTTTTGTTCAGCAGGAGAAAGAACGCTCACTGACACCTTCCTTTTATGATAATATCCAACGAAGCTTACGGCGCAATTTTTATTTCTAATCGATCGGTTCTCCGATATTTCAAAACTTCTGTTTTTCTAAAGGTCCTCGAGAATTACGCATGGAACGATCTGAACAAACTTCAAAACGAGAGTTGTGCAATTTTCATTCAAGCGTTTCTAATGCTTATATCAATATGCTTATTTTTAATGCTAATTCCGAAACCTTTAATTACACGGCTTTCGCTTACAGTTCGTGCGTGAGATTATACGTAGCAATCCCAAGAATATGGTAGTGTCTAAAAACGCAAGATCTTGATTCTATCGAAGGTACAATAGCCAATAATAATTACATATAGAGGTACATCACATATAGTATAATCAGATATACCACAGACCAGTACGGAATTTTTAGAACCATAGTCGCGATTAACAAAGAAACTTCTGATCATGCAAAAATTCTGTAAAAAGTTAGTGAGACGTTCATCCGAATTTAGGGTTACCGATTGTTAATTTGATTCGGTATAAATTTGTCCGTTCTTAACGAGCTTCCGGTTGTTAAGTACGCTACAATTACCGACCCATACGTAACTTTATCCTACGCCGTAGCTATTTACGACACATCGTTTCCCTGGACTGCGAAGAAGCACGTCGTCCTCTCATAATCCGTAAGGATTTCTTGCAACGGCTTCGGACCGAGGCGCTTGCGTCACGTCGGCTAACTCAAAGTTGCCAGCAATGAAGGCAGCTTTCGAGAGTCCCGATATCCTAGGATACGTTTATCTGCTCGAACATAGTAGGGCGAGTGATGGCGGTGGAAGCAAGGTGGATCGCCGAGGGATCGAAACTTATCTACTTGCTCAACTAGCTGCTCTAGTACACCAGCTACCCTTATCCACTCGCAGGAACTTCGGCTACCCTTGGGTTCGTGCACAACTTCCGTGCGAGATACGCATTTCTCAAATCTGTTTTCGTCGTTGTACACTTAATTCCGGCTGCTTTTGCGAGACGATCGATCATACTTAGGTTTCTTACTGTTCGAATCATCTTTACGAGCAGTTGCTTCGTTCGTTCGCCGCTTTGCGCCAGCGAAATATAAATAAAAGTACCGAAAAAGATACCGACGTCGAAGGTTCGTTGATTAAAGTCGATTCGTTCAAGCCCCGGAGTGCGAAATAACACACTACACATCTTTGATAAGAAAATGTTTCAAAGTAGAATTCACGTACTAGGTTGTAATATATGAAATGTCCGCTTCGACGCTACTTACGCTTAGGTCGTATCAAGAAATATAACGTTCGACTGCAGGATGCTTCGTATAAAATTGAACGTCGATTTTGTCTTCTTGCCTCGCGTATCATTTCTTTGAAGTAGCGTTAGAAATTCCTCATATTCGCTTCGCAGAGGTGAATGGGGTGTCTTTTCAAAGACAATCCCACGACTGCGATGACACGTAAGAATAGCACAACATACAGCGGGTCGAAGATATAGATACGCGACGACAAAAGGATACCGGCGCGGCGTCGCTAGATGACGTCGCGGGAGGATCGAAGACGGATCGTCGTCGTTGACGAAATTCAATAACACAGTGATTGAAGTCTGCGACTACGCAGATGCGTGATGTACGTTGGGGTATACCGGTTGCAGTAAGACGGTAGAAGCAGAAGCAGTGACAGCGTTAAGCTCTGGATCACTCCTCCTGCATCCGCGTCAAGCTGGGGCTTTGTGGGGCCACATCGAGGCAGGCGACCGGAGATTACAATGGCATCTACGCCAGATTAGCATATGAATTACGCCCCCCCCTCATCTACTACCTCCCCCTTTTCGTGCACGCCACTCTCTAACCCGCTTTCCTCCTTCTTCGGTATCTCTCCTTGAATACTACATCCTTTCGTCTACCTCTTTCTCCGTCTTCTCATATACTTTGCTCCACCCTTTCCCCTAGGTTGCTCGTGATCTCCTTCCGCCCTTTGCGCGATTTACTTCTCGTGCGCGTTTCTATTCAGACCCGTTTGAGCGAACGATTTCGAGGGCCAGCATCAACTTCACCGAATTGCTCGGTACAACGTTCTTTGGGTTCATGTTTCCGTGAATTTTGGGAACCGATATTTGGACGGCTTATTCGCAATATTCCATTATGCGTGCAAATATCTTCGCCGGATTTCGTCGCATTTCACGGCGTTTGAACGGCAACAATAAGGATATGGGTAAAAATACAGTAAAAATAGAGCTTTTTGTGCAACGTCTTACGCTATCGTTTAAATCTTATTCAACTGTTTGACATCTTTCTTTAAATATTATATTTAGAAAATGTACAAGTCGTCAGTTGTTGAATTCGTTATTCGACAAAACCAAATAATAAAATCCACGTGAGAAAGTACAAACATATAATTTAAATAGGCGAAGTTAATATTGACAGAAGATGGTATGATGTTCATGGAAATTAATCATCTAAATTGTTTCATAAGCATCAATTATTTAATTCTCATAAAAGGAGAGATACGCACACCTGCATAATATATTTGATTAAATTTTACGCTTATCCGAGTATTCATGATTATAAATAGGTACTAACGTTATGCAAACTGGAATTATAAAATTATAGAGTTGTAATGAAAACTTGAACAGAACATCCTATATGTACATATTTCGTTCAAATAAAGTCGCGACAATTATTTGTACGATCGTATTTTCATAGTAGAAGGTTCGTACGGCAAAACGATGAAACTTGTTTTCAAAATATTACCATTGCAAATCTTGAAACATCAATTCCTCGTCGTTAGCGGACCAAGTGAATATCATACTCTAAAATTTAGTTCTTAGAATTGTTTAAATTTAGTAAGAATTTAGAATTTAGAATTTAGAATTTAGAAGAAATAGTAGAAACGAGAAAGTACTTTTTTGACGTGGAGAACAAAAACTAGTGTACCGTTAGAATGGCGTACATCGATATAGCGAGTAAATGGATTGGATGACTTGAAAAATATATTATAGTTAGATACATGGGGATATGTAACTTTTAACACGAAGTTACATGGCGCTACAACGGATCAAGGCGATAAACGCGGACGTATGCAGCAAGCAACGATGGTAAATTTCCTATGATTTATAAGGTCTAACTTGTGGCGTGACGGAGAAAAATTAGACGAGGACGCATAGCGAAAAAACAAACGTGCCATTAAGGAAAATGCACCAATGAATATCAGAGTCACTTGTTTCACTGTATTTGTGTTTTATCTTTATGTCTGCCGTTACAACCAGCCTGTGTAAACTCGATAAGCTGGCAATTGTTATCTTATTTTTTAATAAGTTAGGTTCGATAATCCACCATCCGTGTACCGATGAATATATGTACATAAAGTTTAGCTCGCGTGGAAACGTAAAAGATTGAAACGATCGCGAATATATGCACGTATATATCGATGCCATTTGCAATGCCTCGAAATTAATGAATAGTACGTAACTCCAGTACGATGCGCATACTATATGGAAACGAATTTTTATCAGGACATGCCTTTTTGTGTTTGCTCGATTGAAAGTTACGTATGGGTTGTTAACGTATATTACTGCATGTTATAGCGAATGCTTTTCAATTCAATAAAAGTATTTCATTGCTCGCTATTAAACCGGTTATTTTTTATTGCAGCTTTTGATCGATAACGCGGCTTTTGTTATATATTTTGAGCTACCATAAGCCAAAGAGTTGTAGCTTTCGGTAGTAACCTATACAATAACCGTCGTCCCCATCGGTAGAGCTTTAACGGCTTTCAAGAAATGTAGGAAATATCAAAGTAGAATTACGAAGCTAAGTTTCTAAAATTATCAGTCCTACGTATATATCGCGTCGCTAAAAGATAATCGTTGAAAATCTAGAAAATTTTCATTCTAGCACTGGATGCTAATAAAAATCTTGAAACATTAGTACCGTATGAAAGTATATGCTAAAAAATATCGCAAGTTAATCATTCGACTAGGTTAAAATTTCAAATATTTCTAAAACTATCGTTTTTATACTTAAATTCGATCTTATTAGTGAAATCTGAGAGCCAGATATACTGGTTCGATTGCCTGTTCTCACCTCCGCGGTTTTCACTGTCCGCCGGCTTGACTTGAATAGGACGGTTCATCTGCAACAGAAAGAAAAATAATCGATTAGAATTATGTAACGTGTAACGAATGTGATCGGGCAATTAATTTACAGCAGAAGAGAGGATTCCTTGTTTGCGCATGAATGGAGATTCGGCTATATGTATGTCTAGGTCTCGTCACGTTCGGTCTTGTTTAAACAGCATCCCTGTCGTTGACAGGTGTGATTCCGAGAAAATAAAGGTAGCGAATGGAAAATGGTGACGAGGAACAAAGAGAAGGCGAAAACGTGAGAGAGAGAGAGAGGGAAAGAAGTGGAGTTAGAACGAGATAAAGAAATAGATGCCGGGAAAGGAGATCCTCTCTCATCCTTTCTCTCGCCGTTTTGGTTTGCGAAAGTGCGGAACTCCGACACTCGTCCTTCCGTCCTCACGAAATCTTTTGGGCCACTGCGAATGGGTCGAGATCCCAGAGAACAAATAACATTGTTTATTTGTCGGACGGGTCGCGCGACCACAGAGCGCTCTAGTTCATTCCTAGGGGATGACAATGCATGATTCATGACGCGGGGGACACGGGACTGTACTCCGATTCCTTCTCCCATGCAACGACCCTAACTTTCTCTCTTTCCCTCTCTTCCTCCTCCCTCTTCTCTTCCTATTTTCGGTCGGCTGTTTTGGTCTCAGGATCCTCCTTTTTGTCACTTTGAAACCTTCCGTAGTCCTTCCAGGGGTGTGTTACCCTGAAACTGTTCACGAGAATTTTGTTTTTCCGCCTCTTTACACTTTTCTTCGGGAATGCAGACGTCAGATTTGAATTAGATTATTCGACGTTTAAACGATTAGGTGCTCGATTCTATGTACTTTCGTTGATTCTTTTAGTCCTAGTTACGAGTTGATAAAAATGTGTGTGAACTCTTTATTGAGAAACTTCGATATATGGTTCGATAAAAGAGGGATATGTATCTTTCAAAGCTAGCGGCATGAAAAGCAACATGCCATGCAACTGTGGACGATAAATTTCATCGCAAGCTCGAGAATCTGTTTCTTAACGTGGGCATAATATGACCGAGCATCGCGACCATCTGTCTTCTGACTCGATGTTTTTTTTTCATTATGCACCATCTCCAGCAAGAATAGCGGGGAGAGAACCCACTGGGGTAGAAATATACGTGGCAACCCCGAAACTTTTTCCCCAAGCTGTATGCATGTCAGATACCACGAGGGGTTGCTTCGCAGGGGTCAGTGCCACGACCACGTGGATCTCGTTCAAACGCTATACCCGCCAAGCGCAACGAAGATTTCCGGGTTCAAAGTCCGTTACGTAGTACGTTGTTCCTCGGCCTTTCAATTAAATTCTATTTTATTAGCGTGTATCCTCGCATCAACCTTTCTAATATTATCGAACCATACACGTAGAGAGGAAATGTTTTCCTTTCAATTAAAGAAACTGTAGGTTAAAAATAAAAGTAGATACGACGGTAGGACCATATTCCTGCCTTATGCGTAACACTTTAAGTACTTTTAGATCGAAACAACGATTTATGGCATAATTATCTTCGAGTTACTTATTTTGTTTTACTCGGATTACCTCCCATGACGATATATCGGTGTATTATGCATAAATGTACCATCTAATTCGTTCCTTCTAAGCGTAACGAAGCATTTAAGCAAGGTTTAACATACATTGGACGTCTGACAATCTGATTTTCACTAATGAGGAATAAATTGCTCCCATCGCACAAGCTCGTAACTCTGATCACCGTCGAGGGATCGATTAAATTGTAATGTAACTACATAGCATGAGATACGTCTCAAGAGAAGGTAGTCGTCATTGCTTATTGTTTAATACCCCGTGGAAGTTATTACACACTGTGTCCGTTTCTAGGTTGGTCGGCGGGCGAGGGCACGAAACGTGGTCTCGGCAGGTAAAGTTTAAATAAACAGGAAAATCCGTGAAAGTGAGAAAGGAAGGTACGGAAAGGAACAGAAACAGGAAGACGCGTAGTTTCACGGATAATGAGGGAGAACAATGAGTAAGGAGGCGAGGACGAAGGTCTGCAGGTCACTTTAAACACTGTCCTGTAGTCAGGAAATTAAACTTTGAGTCCAGCACTGGCTATTAGGCGTTTGTTGTTGTCTCGTTGTCAGGGGAACCCTGTGTCCGTATAGATACTAGAACTGAGATACGACGTTTTGCCCCTTTCCCGGCTCTCCAGGGAAGTTTAACGCTGTATGCATCGTGTAAATGTCACTTACGACCCAAGGGATCTGTACCAGTCAATAACGATCACCAAGCGAGACTTCTACGGTCCGTATTGTGGTATGGACGTGGCGATTAATGTAGACGAGTATTAACTAGTGCTCGTTAACGGTGGCTTCATGGCCAAATAGTCACCACACCCTCTCCCGTAGTTGATTAGCGTACAAAATGGATGTCAGTCGATAATTTCGTCGAGTTCACTGACTTTGAGGATATCGATACGGTTAGGAGTGTGATAAATCGTTCCTTGCTGTTATATTTTTAAAGGTCAGCGTCGCGATTCACCCTCACAAAGTTCGCGTAGCTTTATAGTAATATACGTTTCATCGTCGTTTTACCAATTTTATAACGGTTTTACGTAGTCAACGTTGTACACTGAGATATAATCACTGGAAACGCTGTATCTCGATAATCGATCGATTAGCGCGGAGCCATACCCTGGTGATCATGTAATAACGTTCATTTACATCGTTAACTGATTTTATTTATTCGGTTGATTATGGGCGGTAAAGCGTTAAAGAAAATGTATCTGTCACTCGAAGCGCAAAAGGTTGTTCACGGGATGCATATGGAATTACCAAGAATTCGACTAAGTTTAAAGCTTAAAAACATCGTTTCGTTTACGAAAAACTACGATCGCGAGGAATATTTTTAGGGCTCCGGTTTTTTCAGGAAAGATATTATAATGCGACGACGACAAACTTCTTCTTCATCGACGTGCCGTCAGTTTTCCTGGGTTCATGATACGTAGACGCAATAGAAAGTTGCGAAATACTGCGAGCAAATGGAAAGATAACGACTCATGAAATTTATATGGTACCTAAAAATACTTTCCAAGGTTGAGAATGCAGCCCCGCTAAAACAGGGGAGTAACACGGACCACACCTTTATTTAACGATTTTGTTGCGATCACGTGCCGACTCTTCGACAATTCGTGTCATCGTCGGCCATGTGCACTTAGAAAATCGATTCCCTTGAGAGGCACCACTCAAGATGGATGGTAATAAGTAAATGTGTTTGCTCAGCCCAGAGCGCGCATCACGAGCAATTAATTAAGCTCGATTATCTACGTACACTGTGGGAAGCGCGTCTTGCTTCTACCGGATAGATGCTGAGTAATAGCCATATGCTTTAGGAAATATATCGCGTAATCGTATCTATTTAATTCCATTTCGTAGAATAACGCATAAGAACGAAACGATGATCGTTTCGTAGAAGTTGTCGACGATAATAAAATTGGTATACAGTACGATCAATCGTGTACATCGTATTTTGCCTCTCTTCCAGCGTCGCGAGACAAAACTTTGATGACACGCATTAAATTAACCATATCTATATTCCTCTCTCTCTCTCTCTCTCTCTCTCTCTCGTTCGCCCCTCTCGATCCTTCGTCTCGAATAACCCAATTCTTTTCTCTTATGGGAAGTACGATTCCTAGAAAGCCACGCAAAATCCAGATAGAGGATAGGTGGAGGCTGATAACTGCCGAATTGAATGGTGAATGCCGCTTCGGAAATTGAATAAGCTATCGTGTCTGAGCCGAGCCGTCGAGCGAAGCCCGGTATTTGACCTGGCTGCGTGCAATCAATGTACTGATTGGAGATAAGGGCTCACTCTGTAGCCCCTGGCATCCTCTCCAGCATGATTTATATACGTACGGTCTTCGCCGGCGATGTATTCATTACTTGATTACCCTTCGGCAAGTTAATGCCGTCGTGACCGTGTAACAAGCCAGATATCAGGATACCTTACAGTCTGCTCACCCCAATTTATGATTGATGTATTCTTCTTTCCATTGTGAGCTCTCCACGTATAATTACATCCTGTAGTACTCCGATTTTGTTCATTTTTTCTTTCTTCCTTCATCAAGCTTATTTTACGTTCAATCGCTAATTCATCAGCCCTCCCTGGAGAAATAGGTACGCTTGAATTTAAAATAAGGAAAACCGAAACAAGACAAAATAGGAAGAGAACATAGTATACGTACAAATAATAATATTCTAGTATTAGTATTAGTGCTTAGTATATATTTCTTCTTTTTCCTTTATAAAATAAATAATATCCGAAGTTGAAAAAAATATCGAAGCACGAACCATAAGAAAATGAGTACGAGTCAAAGTTGGGAGTATGATCTGGAAGATGCGGTATGATAAAACCTGTTTATCGGCACTCTTAAGTTGAGAAATCAGCGGGCGCGGCAGCAGAGGCATCGCTGGGTTCGAGTTAACTTCAATAATTTGCTGCACGCGTATCCAACCGGAAACCGTGCTCCGCGAAATCTGTACCCGCGCCTGTACCGCTAATACAGCTAATTTGTCGACTGCTCCAAAAGCAAATGCTCTTCTCTGTTCACGTCGGATGCCACAGAGGAGCGTAGCGGTTCGAATTACCTTCTAGCATATTACGTCTAAACGGATTCTAGCCGAGCTAATTGGTGAATTAATTGAAATTCCAAAACGAATCGAATCATTTAAGCTATCGAATTTCGACGAGCGCACGCTACGATTTTGTTCTCTTTTTAAAGAACCAATCGTTGCTATTTCTGCACGCGATCAATAATGGAACGTATCTATGAGAACGATCATGAAAATCATCGCCCGTGTGAAAGAGAGAGAGAGAGAGAGAAAACTCTCCTATTGTTTCAACGGTGACAGTATTGCGTACAATTGCCAAATGAATTTGCCCGTCATATCGCATGGTTAGCGAGTTATCAGCGTCACTTTTTTTTTTGATGCTGACAAACAATGTGACTTCGGCCCAGTGATAACTCATATTGAAA